GGTTTAATTACCGGAAGTATTGTTATAGTTACGCGCGTGGTTAGTAGGTAGTATAGCTAATTAGAGTGTTGTATATCTAAAGGGTTAAATTAGCGCACCCTTTAGATACTAGTTTAGAGCTAGCGCGCCTTCCTTATTAGGCTTGCGTGCTTACGCGCTAATATTATCTAGACTAAGCTCTAAGACTCTATCTACCTAACTATAATCTTTACTATAGCTTAAATTATAAGACTATATAACCCTAAAGATCTAACTATACCTATATACTAACTAACCTATATCCTAGTTAAAGTTAAAATCTACTACTTACGCTTACTCTACCTATACTACCCTTAACGCCTCTTATACTACTAAAGCTAATATTACTAAAGCTACTACTACTAAAGCTACTATGCCGTGGCACGGGATGTATAGGAGAAAAACAAGGCTTAGCCTAAAAGGTTAGGCGGGTTAAATAGTATAAAGGCATGAAGGATTAGAGGATAGAATAGGGAACTCCTAGGGTCTTTACTAAAACTCTACAATCTTAACTTTTCTCTTATAATCCTGCATTAAATTTATATCCTCTACTATAGGATCCCTACTATTAAACCTTGCCCCTCCTACTTCTCCTTATTTAAATAGGTTACTCTCCCTAACGGTTTAAATAGCGAAGCCTAAGGGGAACTTATCTTATCTTAGTAAATATAAAGGGCTTGGGCTTATGCCTAAGCCTAGGTCTAACATAAGACAAACCAAGTCCAACACCACTACTAAGCGAACACACTAGACACCTATAAAAAGGCGTAGAGGGCTTACCTCTCCTTTAAGATACTAAATACTATTATTAACGCTTATTGCATTCTCCCTTAAGGCTAGTCTATAATATTTTAGTATCTTCTTCTAAATATACTATAATAGTAATAAGAGATAGACGCGCTGAATGTTTAGAATAACTAGGTGCAACCTAATATAGTAGAAAGGCTAACGCAATAGGTCTATAGATTAATAAAATAATAGGCTTAAGACTCTACTATAATAGCTATACTACGTTAATAGAATAAGGAAATACGCAATCAGATCCTATTCTAACCCTCCTCTAAGCCCGCTAGGTTTAATAACATGCTACCTCTACCCTCTCCTGCCTTATACTGCAAACCTTTCCTAGTTAGCTTACTATATAATAGCACTAAGGCAAACTTCTCCTCCTAGTAAATAACTATAGAGTTTAAACTGCGTGTAGACGAGGTCTTTATTAGGGATAAGGAGGCAAGGTTTATATATATTTAGTCCTAGTTATTGCCTATAGTCTAGCGCGCTATAGCACTATACTTTAAGGATAGTGCACGCAAGCGTTAGGATATAAGTAGGTTTCTTAACTACCTAGTATTCTATTATAGTAACTATTATAGGCAGGAGCGCGCCTAAGTTATATTAGAACACCTATATTAGGGCTAAAATTAGCCTTTTATAGAGTTCTTTGTAAATTTTATGACAGCTCCATTATCATAGTTAGGAGGTTTACACTAGGATAATAAATAGAAGCTTTTATAACTTTAGCAATCTCTTAATAGTTATATGCGCTTAGTTTCCCTTAATAGGGGAGTCTCTAGGATAAACTACAATATAGCTATAGAGGAATATAAGACAATTATGGTGGATATTAAAATAGCCTCTCTAGAACTAGGCTTTCTTTAGGCTAGTAAGTCTAAGGAACCCTAGTAGAAGTCTAACTTAGATTAGGATGGCAACACAAATATAGTAGAAGTAGTAGCCCTATTAAGTGTACCTACTAAACTGCTAATATTACGTCCTAACTAGATCCTACAGGACCTATTTAATACACAGAAACTAGCAAAGGTCTACACCTAGTATAGATAGGGCGGTTATTTTGTGCGTGCATGCCCTAATACCCTATTACTGCAACTAGTAGGTGTTAAGACAGTTATAGCATTAACAAGCGGCCCTAATTTAGGAAACTAGCCGCCCCTAACCTTAGGCTAAGTTAGGGGTATAAGGAGGATACTATAATAGAGGAATTATTAATAGTAGAGGCTATTAAGTGTCCCCTAGATATTAAGGCTAGGTTAAATAATCCTCCTTTCTTTATTCCCCTCCTCCTAGGTAGAGTAGAGAACGTGCAAGCAATAGTTAATTTAAGGTGCTAGTGTTTTAGTGCGGTTAAGGAAAAGTTAGTAAGATAGATTAGTAGGAACTTTATTAATATTCCCCCGCAACCCTTGCAATATACCTAGGGAATTACTAAGGGTACAAGAATTTTATAGTTAGTGGCATTAGACTATAATTTAGATAGTTAGCGGTCTTAGCTTTTAGCTTATATAGTACCTAGTCTCTCCTATTAACTAATACTAGGCAGACTATAGCTGTGTAGAGAGGGCGTTATTATAGATATTCCACAAGGCGAATTAATAATTAGGAAGGCAGGAAATATAGTAGTACAAGAGAGTAGGAGACGCCTGTATCCTACCTATATCTCTACTATCTTAGGTTTAGTTATAGCGGGGTTGCTAAATTAAGGATTCTAATAGGAAGATATATAGGTACAAATTTTTGCAACAAATATACTAGATATTTTATAGGCAATATATAACTTACGCCTAATAAAATATCTAGGAAGTGTTAGTAAGGGAGGTCCTAATAATATACACACTATCTATATTACTAGTAATATAGTTCCCTATAAACCTAAGCATAAAACTAGATAGACAAAGTTGCTACTAGAACTGTAAGAGTTTAAAGACCTGTTTAACAAAGAGTTAGTAAGCAGTTTGCCACCTTATTAAGGTAGTATAGATTACTATATTTAGTTAACAACTCTCCTAGATAGAACCTAGCCTAACCCCCTATAGGGTCCCCTATACCCTATATCGCGTGACTAATTACTAGAACTAAGAACACAACTTACTAGATTAATGGACAAGGGCTAGATCTAAGTAAGCTCTTCTATAGCTAGAGCTCTAGTGTTGCTAGTAAAGAAGCTGTTAGGCGGTTAGCGCCTTTGTGTGGATTACTAGATACTTAATAGCATAACAATATTAGACTAATACCTACTACCACTTACTAAGGAAACTTTACGCACACTATCTAGCGCAAGTTAGTTTATAAAAGTAGATATTTGCGCTACCTTTTATAAAGTTAGAATAGTAGAAGGTTATAAGTCCTTAATAGCTTTCTGCACCTAGTTTAGGTTATATAAATAGTTAGTATATCTATTTAGTCTAAGTAGTGCGCTATCCACTTTCTAGTGATATATTAATACCGCGCTTATAGAGTTACTTAGATTATATATAATAGCCTACCTTAATAATATCCTAATTTATTTAGGAGGAGACTAGTCTAACTATATAGAAAAAGTAAAGCGTATACTTACGCTATTAAAAGAAGTAGGACTACACCTAGACTTAGAGAAATATGCTTTTAGTATTAAGGAGGTACGCTACCTAGGCTATATTATTAAGGCAGGTAAATTACTTAGACCTAACCCTAAAAAGCTTAGGGCAGTATAGGAATAGGAATCCCCTAGGAATATAAGAGAGGTAAGAAGTTTTCTAGGTTTTGCTAACTTCTACTATAATTTTATCGCGAAGTTTTCTAAAGTGGCAGCACCTTTAAACTAACTAACTAGGAGGAATACCCTATTCTAATAGGGAGAGGAAGAATAAAGTGTATTTAATACGCTAAAAAAGGCATTTGTGTTAGGACTAGTATTAATATAATAGGACCTAGCTAAAGAAACGTTATTAGAAGTAGACTATTTAGGATATGCTCTTAGGGGTTGCTTATTATAAAAAGTTAGGGGCGTCTAGCGCCTAGTTACTTACTACTCTGCAGC